GATTTGCGGGGAAACGGTGCACAATTTCGAAAATCTGATGGCACAAACATAGAATATTTTTTGATTGCGAATCGAATGGGCATATTATTATTGTTCGGTTAACTTCCGGTCGCAAATAAAAAAAATTATCTTAGCCATTTCAAGTGATATTGAAAAAAGTTAAATGCAAAAGTTGTAGAGCAAGAAAAAATAATAGAGATGAAAAAAAATTCGGACGGATTGCACATATAATAAGAGAGATATTTGCGTCCGAAATTTTCTCATTTTTTGACAAATTCCTGATTCTGGAGGAACGCCTTAGCTTCGTGCAGCAGCTTCACGCCGAACTCACGATTCGCAATTGTTTTGAGGTAAGCGTTCAGTCGGACGCAAACCCGTACAAGGTGGTTAAAACATAGTACAATGTTATTTTTCATTACAAGTTAGAAGCCAAAGTATTCCTGTTGTAGATTTCCGTGATCCCGGATGTAGATTTAGGAGTCTTCGTTTTCCTGGATGTGGATTTTCGAGCCTTCGTGTTCCTCGCCGTAGATTTTGGAGTCTACGGCGAGAAACACGAAGACTCTAAAATCTACGGCGAGGAACATAGGGCTGGTCAAGACAGTGGTACCCCTACGTCAGCCGTGTTTGCGCATCGTTCGCTAAATTGAGCAAAAGAGGGGTACCATCATTCCAGCAGCAGCTACGTTGTATGTGGAGGGTTCATCCCGAGCAAAATATTAGGGGTTGGATATCCACCCATCGATAGTTTAAAGTGTCGAAAAATAAAGACGATACATACGATACTTCTATATTATAAGGTATTTCTTACAAAACAACAACTTTGTTCTACGGTACCATGCCATGTTTTACCCCCTTAGGGTAATTAAAAAAGTTACCGACCGGTGGTCACTGCGTGATTACCGAACGTCATAGACCTCTAGGGCATGCGTCGCCGCTGTTGAGTTTCGGGCCTTAGGAGCGGAACCGTATGGCGGGGATTCAACCACATGAGCGAGGGGTGGGAGGGGCATCTGGGGCGATGTTTGAAGACCCGGACACATAGACGAGGGGGTGGCGCCATAGTGCAGTGCGGGGGACCGGAGCGCAGTGCACTCTATGACTCATTGGGACAGTGGTGGGGGTTTGTTGTGACGGCCAGGAGTGGTGTGTATCTACTTACATGGCATTAACTACTGCAAGCCAAGAAGTTCCTTGGTTAAGACAGGTAATTCAAAATCTCAGTCCAAGCACCGTCACTAAACCAACAAAATTATCTTGTGACAATGAGGGTGCTATAATACTAACACAAACTTCGGGATATCGTCCAGAAGGAGGGATAGCCTCGACATACTGAATTGTCCGTCAGAGGAGAATACCCGACGCAGACGTTTCCACGAACCAGCACAGGTGCGGTTGAAATACTGGCGCCTCGTTGGAGAGAGATAAAGTGCTGTAGAACGGGCGGAGATAGAATTTTGATACGGTTAAGAACAGGGGAGGAACCCCTTGACCCGAATTGAGAATTTGGTGCCTAACTGTCGCCCGCTGCCCTGGGAATGCGGCCGTGGATTATCTCCAGTTATCACGTACACTGCGGGACATTAATGCCGTCCTTGGGTGGAGCTAGTAGGAAGCGTGAGTGGGGCGGCCGGCAGTGGCAACTGGTGGCTAGCAAGCCAGGCCGACGCGTATAGAAGGTAGCCTATGCCCCTCGCCTGGGACGGCATTTCTGTTCCGAGTTCAGGCGTCCCGCATAAGAGTGTCTCACACAATTTCAACATGAGTCCGCATAAGCCCCTCTCAGTCAGTGGAGTCCCAGAGATAGCCTGCACTCCGTATAAGAGCGTCTCACTTGAGTCTAGCGCGTATAATAGACTGTCTCACTTGCATCACCACCTGCACGCGCTTAGCAACCGCTGGCAGCGAGTGAGAGTCTTATGGGCAACACGCGCTAGACTCAAGTGAGACGCTCTTATACGCAGTCCAAGCTATCTCTGGGACTCCACTAACTGCGAATAAGAGGGGCTTATGCAAACTCATGTTGAAAATGGGGGGGACACTCTTATACGGGACGCTTGAACTCAGGACAGGAATACTGTCCCGAGCGAGGGGAATAGGCTTTCTACGCGTCGGCCTGGCTTGCTCGCCACCAGTCGCCACTGCCGGCCGCCCCACTTACGCTTCCTACTAGCTCCACCCAAGGACGGCATTAATGTCCCGCAGTGTACACAAACTTCGGGACATTGCCCACGTACAAAGCACATCGACGTGAAATACCACTTTGCGCGCAATCACATCGAAGAGAAGAAACTGTTAATTGATTTCGCCCCGACCGAATATATGATAGCCGAAGGCAGTGCGTAAGACAAAGACTGTTTTGCTCCAAAGGCAAGGGGAAGCTCGTCTCCAACGAGACCTGTTAGGATCGCGAATCGCGCTGCAAAGGGATTAGTGGGTTCAGTAGGCATACCGAAGTAAGAACAGTTCTTGGATAGCCTAGCCACCACGATTCGGAATAGTCGTGAGCCGCCGTTGGAGAGCACACTTTACGCGACGGTCTTTGAATTTTAAAATCCTCCGTTTATTTAACTGTAATAAACGGAAGGATATTCTGCTTGCTGCGTAATCATTTTGCGCGCCTATCCAACGACTCCGAAATTCTCTCTCGTCGCCCTCATATTCCCACCATCTACCATTTTTAATGAGCTGAGGCTGAGCCGCTGGAAAATATGGTAAACGGCCGTGGCGAGAGACGACGGTGCAGGGATACTGCACCCGACGCCCAACATTTAGTTTTTCGGATCTACTTAGATTTCAGCATGTTGGGAGCAGCCACGGATCATTTGTAGACTACGACGATGTACGGTATACATCACAAGAAACATACGCCTTTTTCAGTTAAGCGCCTGAAATCTCTGATGATCCTACCATCTTTGCTATCTAATATCCAACAGTGGTGACGTAATTTTCGTTTGTAGTCGATTGTAGTATCGTAATTTTCGTTTTTAGCAGTGCAGTTTGGTTCGTAATAGATTGTAGTGATATAATTTTTGTTAGTAGCAGTGTTGTTTCGTTTGTAGTAACATAAAAGAGTTTCTAAACTATAGAACCAGTGGTTTACCATAAATATGAGCTAGAACTTGAGCCTATGCACGAGCAGATCGCGTTCACGTGGCTCAATTGTCGGTAACACTTTTTAATAAATATTCAAAACTTGTCAGAGTTCAGAATTCTTCTTATATTTACGGAAGAGCGCTAGTTCTGTAATTTAGGACCTGAAAGGAACCCAAAACTTGTGCTTCTACACGAGCAGATGTAATAGAAATCACTGTACCCGCTTTGTACATATTCGACATAAGTTTATGAAAAAATTGTTGGTACAGTTCTAATAGCAGAACTATTCATATATACTATGTAGAACTATAAATCTCGTCGAAATCTATAAAATATGATGATCCTTGAACAAAATGATCTGCTACGAGAAGTTAGCTGATCATTTGTTCAATCTTGGTTTTTTTTTTGTGATAAAATCGCAAGAACGATTACTAAAATGTATCAGGAACTATAGAACTCAGTTTCATGCGAAAAGAACTCCTATTTACTTGTGACCTGCTGGAAGTAGATCTACTAGCTTCACACGGATTTAATGCGGGGAGTAGAACCCACGATGTTACTACATCACTCGCTGACACAAAATCTAGAAAACTTGACGTTACAAACGTAATCGGGATCCAGTCTCAAGGAGTATCCATGCAGTGATATATGAAAGCGAATACTGTCTCATTGCAGGAAATTAGTGGACCTACTTAGCGAGAAATTACATCGCTTCTTATGTGACGTGCACTACGTACGTTGTTACACGTCTAGTAAAGTCAATATCCCGCGCTACGTGTGGAAGTTTATTTTTATTGTTGTTTTGTCAAAGTTCCCCCTGAACTGATACAAATGTATTGTTACAACCCAATTTTGCTCAGACTGATTATGATTAGAAACGAGTTATAAAAATTCCGGATGGTCTTGCAAGCTATGGTTATAAAGAAGATATTACGATGCCGCCTTGGCTCTCACTCTCGCTCATTCATACTCACTCGCAGGTACGCTATCAACATGTAACTGTAGACTGTCGTTTTTCACAGCGATCGGTCTATCAATCTTTTATAATAACACAAACTACGCGACAATTTTGTTCTTGACAGAATCAAAGTACTAGTAACTAAACTCACATTGACCGATAACGCTACACGTACAACTCTTTGGGCTCGATACGACTTTCTCGACTTACCAACGGCGTTAGGTAACAGTATGCGGAACTCCCGTGAGAATGATAGCCGCCGTGCGAAGCAATTGTGAGGAGCTACTCCAGCCCGAACTATGCGTTCTGGTGTGTATCTTGAGAGTGATTTGCTCTCCCTGATCCATCCTTCTTTCTGTTGAAAGTAGGTGGACAGACGGGGGTAAATCTTCCTAATTCAATAGTTTTACCCGTGCGAGTGAATTCTGCAATTTTTGGTTTACACGTTCTAGGCACGATCGCAGTGTGATAAACCGGAAATTAGCTTCTCCACATAATGCCGCGGTTCGCATCTCCGGACTTGCGTGATTTCTCTGTTGCATTCCCGTATCTTACTAATATATTTCCCCTATTCGCATATGTGTGAGAAAGCCAAAGCTGAACGGCACGGCACGTGACACTTATACAATTTAATCACGCAATTCACTGCAAGCTGCAGCTAAAAATATTGCACTATTTTCGATCATGTTTCCCAATTTGCAAATTGCTGCGAAAATAAAAATGCAACGCACGAAATTAGCATAAATATCAATGCACGGTTTGGCTCCTTATTTCTATAATGAGCTGATCGTATAACTGAAAAACTGATTTGATGAGTCCCACAAAGTTGTTGAACTCGCGAGAATGTTTTTGTTTGATTTTAGAGATAAATACTGATGAGGCGTCCTGAATAATGCATATATGTACTTAAACATTGAAAAGCACTGTAAAAGGAAAAGCAAAGAAGTCAAGGCTCAAACTAAGATCTTTATTGGGAATCCAGGTTCCTCAACTACTTTAGGTATGTTTAAATAATTATAATATTGTAATATTGTACAACGAGAATACAGCGTAAATTTATCTGCAACGCTTAGCCATCATTTACATCATATGCTGTCCATTTGGTGGTGCATACTGAGGCTGCTGGTTAACTGGAGGCGGTCCTGAAAGTCCCCCTTGACTGTACGAGTCTGGAATAGGCCCAGCCGTTCCAGGAATTCTGCCACACAACAAATTTACAAATGCAATTATTTATTTGCTTTACAAAATTTTTATTTTTGCTACATGAATTTTCATTTTTATAGAAATATTCCTCTGCATCGTTAAGGTAGATTAAGGGGCCTGACTATGAGTAAATCCAGACAATAATAACTTCAGATACCTCTCTGCGAATATTTTAAAAAGCTTTTGTTTTTTCGAATGGTAACTTTTTACATTAAAAACTTCTATACTCGCAGTAAAGATATGGAAGTTATGATGTATAGGTGTGAGTTGGTAGAAAGTATAAAAACATCCAACTATACATACAAAGATTTTTCACAAAAACAGTGTGGCAATAAATACGGGATCCAAATAAACATACAGAGGATATCTTTTACACAGATCTATGTACAATAAATTGTAAAAATTTATTTTCACGAATTGAAGACTATACACGCACAACTGCTGTATTACACCCCGAATACATTTGGTATGTCTATCATTGGTTTTCGCAGTTATGCCGTACTAGAAAATTTAAATAAATGTTATGTATATCGGCCTTCATTCCGAAACACAATAATAACGTAGCCGACAGTCAGTATAATTGCAGACTCAGCACGTTACCCAGTGCAATGCCCGTGTCACCTACCCAGCTGGTTAGCCGAGTGCATTCCTAACGTCCTAACCGTACCTAGAGCATCAGCAAAAATCGACTATATAAGCAGCCAAAATCATGGCACTGACGCTCAGAAAATCATTTAGTTTCACGCGCAAAAGATCGGACTGCACGTGTCACTCGTGGCTCTAACCGAGTATTAGATTCAGTGTAATATTCGCAATCTGGCCTACGTACGGATTCGTTATTACATACCCTAGGGAACAAGCTGGATCGGTTACCGGGCAAAATTGAGCTGCATAGACTAGTCTTTCCAAGTAACGGATATACTAGATAATTTTCTGTTCCACCAAATTTCTTTTCGCCTTAACCTCACACACAGTCAGGTTTTGTAATCCAATTTCACGATTTTTATCCCAGTATTTCTCATAACCGAAACACTGTAAACAACAATTAATTGAAAACTTTTAAATTATTTGTAACAATATATCGCAGATTCACATTTTACTCGCGTCTTAAATATCTATTACCCACCTTGGAATATTACAGGGAATATCTATCCACGTTGGAATAGCAAGGCGTGTATCAACACCTTAATCGAGCAGCGAACCCACCATTGAGTGCATTCTTACCGCTCGGAATTCACTCAAATATTATTCACGTTACCTCTGGTCGTTCCTTTTCTTTTGGCTACTTCTAAATTTTTGTTATCAAATTTAAAGGCCTCGCTAGCCACTACGGCTTACGTAATATAATTAAAAAATTGTTATGTCGAAAATCCCTCACACCGTTTCATTATAAACCCCTATGAAAATCCTAAGCCAGTATAAATATAAATATACAAATCCTTTTCCTTTGAATTTCGATAATAAGTATTTTTGACCATTAACAAATCCTTTGAAATATCAATCAGTGTATGTTTCCCATTCCAGGCACTTGTCCCTTCACCGCTAACATATCTTAAAAATAAATGATCCGAAAGAGAGAAGCTTCGGTGGAGTCGACGCGAGACCCACACGATTACGTGAGTAAGCGCGAATATGTGTGCATGTGTGACGAACGCGAACTCGAGGCGGGTCAATCCCCGATAGAAACCGCGAGTGCGGGATAATAAAAACCGTGAGCCTCTTCCTACGTGTTTATCTATGGTCCACCACAGATCCGAAATCACGATACGCAAAAAACTTATGTACTGTGACGTGGTGAATACTACCTGCCGTCTTCTAAGCGGAATATAGTGTTCGTATGCGCGAATGGCATAGGGCCTCAATAGTTCAGGCAGGATCCACTGACTACAAGGGCCTTCAATTTATATGAAATTAAGAATTTCATTTGTTTTCGTTTTTTTAAATGTATTCTGCTGGTCTTTCAAAACTTGCGTTCGCTTGCCGAAATCCCGTTAGCGCGAGTTAGGAGCGAGAGGGAGCGACTACCCACGCTCGAGCTAACAAACCCTTCTACTAACCCTAACGGCGTGTGCAGCAACGCGGGATGGTCAATGTCACGTCACAGCAACACACTCTGCCCAGCTGAGATTCAATAAACAGATTTAACAGAAGGAGGCGTATGAGACGCCAACAAGAATGAGCCCCGCTACCTACCCTTATGGTCTACTGCCGATCGCGAGATTTTTCCAATGACGATAATCAGTGAAGTAGGAATCCGGGGACGCCTGGTGAACCTTCGCATGATCAGGAATGTAGGAGCCCATCGCAAGGTCGCCAGCGTGCATGCTATCCGCGACTTAAAAATTATACATGTTGCGATGACATCTCAAATTTGGCGCGGCATAAACTTTTAATTGAAGGATTTGCTCGCAGGGCGAACCACCGCGAAATAGTCTCTTTAGACTCCCTCCCTTGAGGGGGTGCTGTCTCTTATCAGGAAATATTGCGCGTGAGGATTACGAATCAATTCTACTTGGACGATTGGTGAAGTTGTGTGACTGGAAGGTCTTTTATCTCATCTTGATGTGCGAAATAGTCGTACTTTTCGAAGTAGTCGTACATTCGAAATAGTCATACCGCGATTTTTTCGGTAAGCGATTACAATTCCTTTTGGGACCGGTATATTTTTATGCAATTTTGAACGTTTACTTGATTCGCGTGCACGAAGCACGCTATAGGAGTGACTCCCCCTTAGTTGATTTTAATAGACCTCGCATTTCTCCAGGCACGAGATTTTATCGATCGGCAGGTTCACTGATCATTTTGTTCGTCTCCGTCTTTTTTGTTTTTCCTAAAATCGATTAACTGTCTGTGGCCTGTTCTGAACGTATAGAGCGATGATCGTAATCAAAATTACAATGACAAGAAAAAAGAAATTGGTATTTTAGAAACGATTTGAATGAATGCTGTGATATCTATTACAAATCAATAAAGTACAGAACAATTCGATATGAGTAATTACAATCGTATGGGGGCCGATATAGACCGGCACTTGCCGAGTTATTACTGTTCGTAATAACGATATTCGCTCAGTTATGCGGTGTTCTGTTTGTGTGAGTGATGTGTTTGCGTTGTTTGTGTGACAATGGTTAAGTGGTATACGTGTAGGTACAGTTGACACCATCGATATATGCGGTTAGGTGTAAATAAACGGATATGAGTAAATATATGTATATTGTGACGTGATTTTTTGGCTCACGGCCACAAGGGGAATACTATGAGCAACAATCTGAGATGGTCATGGACTCCCTTTAATCAATAATAGTAAATATTAACAAGGAACAATTCTAGAACCAGATCTTCAAAAACTAATTTAAAATCAGAGGCATGGTTCCGATGCATAGATGGCATCTTTGTCATCCGGCGAGACGAAAAGGACAACCGACCCACACACCTGATACCCCTACGCCCTCTCCTATTACGACACATCACAAAAAGAGTTGGCCATTAACTCACTTGTCCACAGAGGTATCTCAATCTCAAAGCTAAATAACCTGAACCAAGAACAGCTCAACTGATACAAGCCAAAGCATACTATCAACAGACTTATGAACCCAAAATCCACCCGCCCCCCCTTCTCAAAGAGCAGCCAGAACAAAGGAATTATCGTTACTTTCTTTCCTATATGTATACAAGTTACAACTGAACGAATTGGCAAAATTTTGCACAAACACAACATTATATCACCTCACAAGATTTCATAAATCCAAATATTTTCCAAAGACAGCTGAAGCTGTAGCGTGTGTAAGGGTGTCTCTCGCTCACACACTTGCTCCCTGCGTATATAAGAGTGTCTGGCTTTGACTCATAGCCTATACCGGCGCAACGTTCTTGCCGGTGGCTGAGGTCTCGGCATGGATTATATGGCTAAGCATTTGAAGTGCATTCAATGTAAAGAAAATATTTTCTTGAGAACAACAGTGGAGGAGACATGAATGGATTTACATTCCATTTTGCATAATTACATATTTGGAATGAAACATTAATTTTAAGATTACCTACTCGCGACTGTTTGTTTCACATGTGTTGTCACTGTTATTTCGAATAAAATAGGTTTTATTTGAAAAAATAATTATCTCAAGTCCTTCCCAGAATACCAGAATTCAGCCAATAGTAAGATTCGAATGTATTGGCTTCGGTACGCGCTTACCAGTTAGCTGTTTCGTACACTGTTGCCGCTTCGTCACAGCCGATCGTCACCGTATTCCGGTTAGAATGAAATTTATATTTTTTGTATGGCGATATCTCCGAAACTAGGTGGTCAAAAATCGTCATTTTATTTCAGAATAATCCCACAATACTACTTTATATTCTCACTGTTTTTATTTAAAAATGGGCAAATCTGTTAAGCAGCTATAATGAAAAATGTGATAGAAGTACTATCTTTCCATGTGTTAGGTATACAGAGTGCGTGCAAAACGTGCTATTTTTAAAGACAATTATCTAATAAACTAAATGGTAGATCGACCCTATAATTTGGGAATCAGTTCATAATAATTGTAATTCCTTGTCACACAGCGTTAGTGCGACAAAGGCAGATAGCTGCGACGTGGTGTCTAGGGAATAGTGTCCAGCGTGTCAACGAATTGTGGATACATGCGAGTCAGGGACCTATTGCCGTCTCGCTCTCACTCATGCTGTGCGAAAAAGACGCACGGTAGAACGCTTCAATGCGTTGAGACGCTGGACGCTTGTTCCTAGACACACATCGAAGCTATCTGTCTTTGTCTTACTAACGCTGTGTGACGAGGATGGGCAATCAAAAAGTGTATCTCATTCGCACCACCGAAAGTCACATAGCTCCTTCTAGTTTCTTATCGGGGTACTAACTGTCCTCGTCATAGAGCATTAATCTGAGAGAGAGAGCGAAAGCGTGCGCCCGGACACGAGCAGTCCCCCACCAAGCTCCCTATTGCGCATGAGGGGCCTTGTTGCGGTCTGGCTTACACTCGTGCTGTGCAACAAGGACGCTCGTACATACCGTAGTGCTTTCTGCGTTGCACGCACAAGCCAAGATACGTGAGCAGGCGCCGCCTAATCTCCTCTTTTACGTCACCACACTGCGTCTACCGTTGTCACCATTATTTTGGTTCAGTGTACAGTCAACCGCATTCATGGTGACAACGGTAGACGCCGTGCAGTGAGGTAAGCGAGGAGATTGGGCGGTGCCTGATCGCGTATCTTGGCCTATGCGTGCAACGCAGAAAGCGCTACGGTGCGAGCGAGACGCCAGAGCGTCGCTCGGTGCGTCCTTGTTGCACAGTACTAGTGTAAGCGAGACGCCAACAAGGCCCCTCATGCGCAATAGGGAGCTTGGTGGGGGACCGCTCGTGTTCGGTAGCACGCTGTCCCCCTCTCTCTCAGACTAACGCTCTATGACAAGGAGAAAAGCTACTACCCCAATATACTAGTCTATCTCATTCCCACTACCGAAAGTCCCATAGGTCCTTCTCGTTTCTTATCGGGGTAGTAGCTGTTCTCGTCATAAAGCGTTAGTCCGAGAGAGAGGGGGAAAGCGTGCCACCGAACACGAGCGGTCTCCCACCAAGCTCCCTATTGCGCATGAGGGGCCTTGTTAGCGTCTCGCTTACACTAGTACTGTGCAACAAGGACGCACCGAGCGACGCTCTGACGTCTCGCTCGCACCGTAGCGCTTTCTGCGTTGCACGTATAGGTAAGATACGCGAGCAGGCGCCACCCAAATCTCCTCTCTTACCTCACCGCACATCGACAACCGTTGTCACCATTAATGCGGGTGACTGTACATGCAGCAAAGCATGCATAGGTGAAACCGGGAGAAGGATTGTTAGAAACACGTATTAAAGAATATAAGCGATACGTAAGACTCAAACATTTCACCATCTCAGCCTTAGCAAATCATCTCAAAACAGGACACAAAATCCAATTCGATTATACAATACTCTTTGTTAATTTTAACAGTCATTTACCCAGAAAACATCGCAAAGCTTTAGAAACTCGAAAACACTTAACAAAATCTCAATAAAAATAAACTGTATAAGGTCCATTCCTTCCGACAAAGCTTTCTCCCGATTTTTTAATTTCGATTGACCAATCAAAATTATGTGTAAAATATGTGTAACCTGAATGATCAACCATATCATGCACAAATATTACAAGGTCCCATATAAGGTAAAACCTTTGCTGAGGCATACCAATATCGGTGGCCCTTACAAGAAGCAAGCTGCAATGTTTAAAAAACGTCAGCGAGTTAAAAGTTCCAGACGCGGTTTCAACCCGGAAACCAATTATAACCATATGGGCAACGGCCGCAGAAATCTCAAAATTAGAATGAAAATAATAAAGTTTGACATGAAAGCACATGTCAATACAAGGCATCAGTTAAAGTCAAATAATTAAAACTTAACTCATGACTTATACTTTTACATACCGGGCGCACTTCACCTAAAGGTCTAACGCTTTACTCATATCGCTCCTTCCTAACAGTATCGTCATACTTCACGAAATCCGTTTTATAAGACCGTAACTCGGGAGGTCTATTTGTAATACCATATTTGGCGAAGTCTTTTTGTATCATCGTAACCCGCAGCTGAGAGCAGCATAACAATATCTCGAAGTTCCATGCTGCAACGTGTGATGGATATGAATAGAACACACATACACACACACCAGATTTTTATTTTAGAATCAATTGAAAAGCATTAAGTCACATTACTAAGAGTAATATCTTTTTATTTATAAAATTCTGTAGTCAAAGAATTTATATCGATTTATAATTATTGTGTAAACTTTCGATCAATTTTGAAGAACCTTGACAAATTTTTGTTCAGTGCCTCTTTTGTTCGTCGTTGTATCCTGTTATGCCCCACGATAGGATTCGTCGTATAGTTAATCTCCAGACGCAAAGTCAACATTAGACGAATGCTGACCCTATGCATAAGGCGTTAAGATAAAAGCGACGAGAGACACCTTGTGAGCCACAGCGGTCACTCGCAAAGTTCCTAGCTAAGAGTGAAGTCCTGGAGCGTATTCATAGTTGTGAATAATTAGTATCACTGTGCCTACTCCCATTAAATCTTGTGTTACCTTAGTATTTACATTATACCAACTTCAATAAACTATAATAGTTCTCTATATAATTCCAAATCGGTGCAATTATTTATTTGTGATCCTAAAGAACTCATGACGGCATAACAATCCATACAATAGAATGAAAAAATTGCTATTACATGATTCCAATGACAAAATTACACAAAAACTGGTACCAACTAAATTTGTTTGTTATACAGATGGATCAAAATTATATATATTAATTTTAAGACTGACAACTTTGAGCACAATATCTTTTAATTAACAGAATGGCATGAAGATAATTATTTAATAAATGTGTTACAAGACTTCGCGAAATACGGTTTTACAAATGCAACACCCGAATTACGTATTTTCAGTAATTTGATCAATTCCATTCCAAATTTTCTCAATCAAGCGATTAATTGAAATAGATTTTGGACGGATTATTAATGCTATGATACCAAAGACTCTTTTCACGGCTACCAAAACCTTTATGATGATGGAATACTTATAAATGTGCTCCACTATTATTAAATCGATTCGTATTAGACAATTCAAAGATTCAAGAATTTAAGTGCTCACCATAGTAAATGAGCAATGGTAGGGAAAGTACATTAAAAGAGTCGGAAATTTTTTGAAGTATTGGGCATATCATCTTTAAGTGGAGGGAGTATCCCTTCTACTGGTTATTAATGACGGGCTGTGCAAGTGTTAGAAAGTCACCGTTGTCAAGAAGCCAACTTATGACACGGTGGAAATGCGGATTATTGAACAGTTGCCAATTTCGATGAATGTGACTGAATTTCAATTTTTTTTTTAATTGAATATAGTCAATAAAAATTATTATTGTAGTCTACAAAGACATCTTTTTTTATAAGTGTATATGAAAATTGAAAACTAACACATATATCTAACATTTTTAATTGTGAAATATATCAACTATACTATCAATATTATTATATAACATCAATAAAATCTGATGATACATAATAAATGATGCTTCTTTTTCAAATTTATTTTGTTCGTATGCTTGTAACTTACCTTTGTGGCTGATAAGAAAGGCTAGTCTGATCTGGTATTGGTGGCCCCTGGGAATGACTTGCAGAATGTTGATGTAGCGTTGATTGTATATGAAAATGTTGAGGTAACGCGATACCTTGCATATTCGTGGGCCCCATATATTCATTTCCAGGCGCATTAGGATTGTACAGTCCTGGTGGCGGACCAGCACTTCCTGAATTAAAGGATGGCTGTTGTGACGTAGGGTTTCCGTTGAACATCTGAAAGGTCAAACGATTCTTTATTAATCTGAACTCGTGCAGTTTATACCTATCATCCATATAGATAAATATACTGATATAAAATACGTCGCACTAAATATTATGTTCAAACTTCAGTATATGTTAGACTCTATAAGAAATTAAATGAGCTTAAACCGTTTCGTGAATGCAAAATTCCTATATGTATAGCTAGGTCACGAGATCGCTCTTCATTTAGAGGCTATTTCATACTGTTTTACACAAAATAACTCTACACGATACTTAATAGTAACGCAATAACTCTACTCTAATAGACCTGTACAATAATATAATAGCCGATTGTGATATGTACAAGAGATATTGTAGAAGATGCAAATAACAACCAGTCCTTAATGACATTGAAATGAAAGTTATCTATTCATCTTTTCGCAAGGCCGCAGTTTATTTAAGTTCTCTCTCAAAGTTCGTGTATGCAATAAATATATAACAGTTTAGTCATTTAAACTAACAATCGTCAAAAACAAGAAAAATGCAACGGTCATATAGTATATTTAGAATTATTGTTTCTTTAATTTATTACATTATTTATGGGATTTCGGATCTCTGATTACTAAGCAATTAAAATGTAAACAAAAATTGTAACAGGATTTTGACAGAAATCGTTTCTCAATTCGGAGTTCTACAAACATTCTGCAAGGTTAACCAGTTCACTGGTAATGACTAATATATGGGTGAAAAAAATGCCATAACTGGTAATGATTCATATACAGGGTTATTCACAGCAAACGCACCAACTGAAGTTCGACGCGATTGAATATTTCTGTAAATCGTAGCAGTGTAACCTTCTTAAACAAATGAAAGAATGTGAAATTCATGATCTTAGCGATGTTATAACGTTAACTCTTATTTCTTTGATGATACCACCCTGTTCTGATTCATTAAATCATCCATTCACGGCCAACTTCAGGTGGTGCGTTTGCTGTGAATCAAAAGACTCGGTCTCGAAACATCTCTCGTACCTGTGTTTCAACTCAACTCAAATATCTTATAAACGGTTATATGTGACAACAAATTATTGATAAATTCACTATAGGAATCGAGGATTCTGAATTGATTGCCATACAAATCAATGAGATCGAGATTTACGAGATCAGTGTCTTGAGATGGCGAGCGAGATGATTTTATTTCAGGTCCGTTGTCGTCATCGTCGTCTTCGCACGTCTATCTACTTTTTTACACGGCAGATGGCTCTGACTGCTTTGCCTTCTTTACCTATTTGAACTCTGGATGGTGTTGGTAATTCACGAATACACAACACAATCAAATACACTTTATACGTGAAGCTACCGTTCACACAGAATTTCAAGTTAGTATAAGACTGCTTTCACAACATTATAATATTATAATTCTATACAGGGTGTTCCGAAATTACCTAACCAACGGGGTATGGTGGTGTTCGGGAGACACCACTGATCACGAAAATGACCTCCTTTTTCTCCGGAAGGTCATAGTTTTTAAATGGGAACAGGTCAAAGTTAACCAATCAGAGGAAGGCGTCAAGAGAAACGTAGGCACTTACGAACTCTGAGTTTTCTTCTCTCGCTTTTGTTTCTCGGTGGCTTCGGGCACGATGACGTCAGCCGAAGACATACCTATTGGATGTCACTCGCTAAGAACAGAAGTTCTCAGTTTAACAGTTAAGCACTATTTAACTGAAAACTGCAATGTTCTATGATAATGCCATTTGACTTACATAGATATCTCTGTGACGTCTTACGTAGATTATCCTGATCTCGCTTTTCTTCCATTGATCTCCAGCGATTCATGCTACAACCCGTTGACGAATTGTAATAAAATTCTAATGCAATTGACGACTTTTCATAATTTATAAAGCATATTCCTTAAGAGTTTATATTCCCTTTGAGATATAATACTGATCTCTCGTAGTAGGTAAATCCGAAATCTATCTCCCGTTGAATTACACGTGGAAGTTGAATAACTCCTCGCAGCCGGAAAAAAAATTAAAATTTCTGCTGCTGTGATCGAATCAGTCTTTGTCTATCTTAAGGTGAAGTATGTATAATCCTCCATCAGATGTAGCATGAATCACTGAAAATCAATGGAAGAAAAGCGAGATCAGGATAATCTACGTAAGACGTCACAGAGAACAATTCGTCAACGGGTTGTAGCATGAATCGCTGGAGATCAATGGAAAAAAAGCGAGATCAGGATAATCTACGTAAGACGTCACAGAGATTATATGTGTAAGTCAAATGGCATTATCACAGAACATTGCAGTTTTCAGTTAGTGCTTGACTGTTCAACTGAGAACTTCTGTTCTCAGCGAGTGACATCGAAAAGGCATGTCTTCGGGTGACGTCGTCCTGCCCAAAGCCACCGAGAAACAAAAGCGAGGGAAGAAAACTCAGAGTTCGTAGGTGCCTACGTTTCTCTTGACGCCTCCCTCTGATTGGTCAACTTTGATCTGCTCCCATTTAAAAACTATGACCTTCCGGACAAAAAGAAGGTCATTTTCGTGATCAATGAAGCCTCCCGAACACCGCCATACCCACCGGGTCAGGTAATTTCGGAACACCCTGTATAGAATTATTAAGTCTAAGTTAGATCTGAAAGTCCAGGGTGTCCAGGTGTTCCACTCAGTAGTTTCTTGTGTGTAGGTGTTGGACGCGGAAGTCCAGGGTGTCCAGAAAAGTGTGCAACGAGCGACGCTTTGGCGCTTCGCTCAAACTATAGTATCCTCTCTGTTGTTCGTACGGCCAGAGGTACGTAAATAATCCAGTACACTCTCTTCTCTTACGTTTACCACACGGCTTCAATAAGCTTTAAAAATTTGTATATATCTTTATGCATTTCTAAAAAAATGAACTTACAAATTAAATTCATATGCCATTAAACATTTTCGACAACACAATATATTTTTCTGATTAGCGACATCACAATGCATTTACATTTTATATCTGCAAAAATAAAGATTTCAGTGCTTAGAGCTTCTATGTCCCGTTGAGCAACAAAAACTTGTCATATCCCCTCCAAAAAACATTTACGTGTAAAAAAACTACGCCAAGTACAGGAGTGCTGTGAATTCCTCTAACAAAAAGTATTGAAATCATATTATTGAGGCCAAGTACTGTACTAGCACTGGCCGATCATATTAATTGTATTTTCAAAATTTCCTATAACGTTTTCACTACTCTTTCACATTACTACTGCTTCTCGTAGTTGATTATGATTTAATGGTCATTTAATAATTAATAAAACTTTAGGTGATTTCTTATCGAGTACTACTTGGCGGGTCCGTGCATTTCCTGATATAAATTTGCGTTCATTATGCCAGTCCTCAAATTGAAAACCAGTGTCAACTTTCTATATAGAACATATTACCAATAACTCGTCAAAAATAATCACGGTAAAAGCTTAATAACAAACATACAGTATTAGAATACTATTAGGGCGTTCAAAGTAAATACCTTTGAATTCCTGGCAACGGACCCACCAAGTAGTACTGAGTAAGGAATCACCTAAAGTTTCATTAATTATTAAATGACCATTAAATCATAATCAACTACGGAAAGCAGTAATAATGTAAAAGAGCAGCAAAAACGTTATAGAAAATTTTGAAAATAGAATTAAAATGATGGGCCAGTGCTAGATCATATAATAAGCAAACATGTAGTGACTTATGTACTTGGTCTCAATAATATGATTTCAATACTTTTTGTTAGAGGAATTCACAGCACTTCTGTACTTGACGTAGTTTTCTTACACGTAAGTGTTTTTTTTTTTTTTTTTTTTTGAGGACAACCCTGTATGAGCACCATGAATATGTCTATCACTTTTTAACGGATTTGCATCAAACTTGATATACTCATGTTTCTTGCATTGCTGATTACGGATCTGAACCTGAAATTGAGAAAATCAAAATGGCGGATCCAATATGTCGACTCCGAGTGAGTAACAGTATTCCATTATGGCTACTGTTCCAACCGTTATTAGCTGTTGAAATGTAATTACGACCCCAGGGTGAGCCACAAGGAGAATGCGGTACGATTTCAAACTCTATTTTAAAAAAATTTTTTGTTTGTAATCTTTTTGTTTTTAATTTATGCGGTTTTTCCTGATTTTAAAATTAAAAAACAAAAAAGTAAAAAATGGAATGTTAAATCCTACCGCAGCCTCCCCGTGCCGCACTATGAGGGCGTGATCATATTCTACCAGCTAATAACGGAGGTAACAGTAGGTAACGGAGGTAATGGAATACCGTTAATTACTCGAACCTGCCAAATTGTATCCGCCATTTTGAATTTTGAAATTTCGATTTTGGATTCGTCACCAGCGGACCAAAAAAACTACGTTTGACTGTCACTGACACATATATGCACACTTTAGAAAAAAAAATGATTTCTATGACAATAATTCAGAAGTCTTTAGATGTAATTCTCATATCAATTCAATAAAATTTGTATTAAAAGTACTTTTGGTAAAAAAAAAATTTTTTTCACTCGACACTTAACGGAATAATAGCATTCTCGCAGTAATTAACCCGAATGTATAAAAGTAATACAACCTAAAATTTTTAACATGTTTTCAATTCATATCGAAATTTTCGGGTCGCACTACTCTTTCAATTTTTGGTTAATTATTGCATGGAGTGTGACAAACTTCACGACCCGCGTATATTGTTCGCTCTATTGCACCAGTATCGCATAATATTTTCTGTAACGCATGCATGAAAAGTGCTACTTTTTGTGCCTCCAAAGTGACTGGCACATCTCATTGGAGGAGGCAGCCATAAGGAAAGCAAGGAAGGCCTTCAAAGTGAATGCATGTCATGACAACGCGCGAGAACAAAGTTCATTTTATCGCACTAGTGCGGGCCGAAATTGGGCCGATTTGAGCATGCGCAGCATTTTTATCGCGTCCTTAGTTATAAAGCGCCACTTACGCCACACTTTGGAGTCACGAAAAGTAGCACTTCTCATGCATTCATTACAGAAAATATTATGCGACACTGGTGCAATAAAGCGAACATTACATGCAGATCGTGAAGTTTTTCACACTTGCCGCACTCGCCTTCGGCTCGTGCCGTTATGTTACTCGTGTGCGAGTAACTTCACCGCCTGCCTATAAAGTTCGCTTTCTCGCACTCGTATCGCAAAGTACTAATAAGATATCAATTACCATATTATAATACGATAATTAACATGATGCAATCTTCATTTATTAAAATGTTCTAAAACAACACATGTCCAATGTATAACACATTACACAATTGATCTTGAAATCTTTAAATTAAACAAATGATAGAAATTTCATTGCACCTTCCCTCTCTAGCAATATAATGTAGTCCGTCCCATGAGATTATTAATTAAGGATAAGGAAACATACTTTACTCTTCATAACATGAGTAAAATATTCGTGTTTAAAAATGAATATACATACGTGTTTAATAATAAATAATATATATATAAAAGAAAACTGGACCAGTCTTTAAGGGTTGATATGTCCTAAGCAAAAGATACACCATTCTATTAGGGCTCACATTGAAGATTCTTTGAATGCTTAATCTCAACATCTGTTAATGATAATTGACTAAAAAATAATAATACAATCACAATAAGTTTATCATATATTCACAGAACTACGATAAATTCAACTTTCACAACTATATACGCTACCTTTTCCACCCTGTAATCCCTCTTGATATACCGAAGACATCTAACTAAACGACAATTTAGTCTCATTATTATTCGTAAGCCAGCAACTGCTCATTTTAAGCCTAATCTATAATCTTCATTTCTGTCCTTATACAAGAATACAATGTTAATTCTCCTTCATTTTATAGACATCAGATTGGAAAAAACCACTCTCTGTTTTAATCCACTTTGTACATTTAACGTTATATGAATTAACTTACATGAGCTGGTGGTAGCCCTTGATTTAAAAATGGAAAAGTGTTGATATGCGGTGGCCCCAGCTTTGGTAAAGTATAATTGGAACGAATTGGGGGTGGGGGCTCGCGCATTAATGTGTGGTATAAATTGAGTGCGTCGACCAAATCGGAGCTCAATTGAGTTAATTGCGCGTGTCGCCTGTCTACTCTTTCCAAAGCTGCATCTATTAACGGTCCCATTGCCGTCACTCGTTCTACGAACAAAATTAATTTTGAGTCATATGTTTTTCAAGGATAAAGAATCAAATACCATTATTTATTGATGAAATCTTACCTTCTAAATCAAGCATTTCTTGGGGATCGATGCTATCGCATTGTGGATCAGCCTCATGTAATAAGTGCAACAATCGGTCCATTTTTTGCTCATCAATTTCGACTTCGATAACTTCTGGGTCTCCCTTAACAGTCTTCATTTCTACTTCACTCGAAAACTGGACAGACTTCTTGTTGCTGTGCTCTAATTCTACAAATTTATAGTATCACACATTATACAGGGTGTTCCGAAATTACCTGACAAACGGGGTATGGCGGTGTTCGGGAGGCACCACTGATCACGAAAATGACCTTCTTTTTCTCCGGAAGGTCATAGTTTTTTTAATGGGAGTAGGTCAAAGTTGACCAATCAGAGGGAGGCGTCAAAAGAAACGTAGGCACCTACGAACTCTGAGTTTTCTTCCCTCGCTTTTGTTTCTCGGTGACTACGGGCAGGATGACGTCAGCCGAAGACATGCTTATTGGAAACAAGAAAGAAGAAACAAGCCACCGAGAAACAAAAGCGAGGAAAGAAAACTCAGAGTTCGTAGGTGCCTACGTTTCTTTTGACGCCTCCCTCTGATTGGTCAACTTTGACCTACTCCCATTAAAAAAACTATGACCTTCCGGAGAAAAAGAAGGTCATTTTCGTGATCAGTGGTGCCTCCCGAACACCGCCATACCCCGTTTGTCAGGTAATTTCGGAACACCCTGTATAATGTGTGATACTATAAATTTGTAGAATTAGAGCACAGCAACAAGAAGTCTGTCCAGTTTTCGAGTGAAGTAGAAATGAAGACTGTTAAGGGAGACCCAGAAGTTATCGAAGTCGAAATTGATGAGCAAAAAATGGACCGATTGTTGCACTTATTACATGAGGCTGATCCACGTAATTTCGGAACATCCTGTATATTTGTACTAAAAAAAATTATAATTTCTTATTAATTAAAATTTATGCAATGTATCATACTTGTAAATTGTTCTGGCTCAACAGATAAATCTGCTGTGACGAAGTTAGATGGGAAGAGACCTTCTCCTCTGTGATTACTTCCCTTCCACCAATTTGGATCCGAATCGTCCAGAATATGAACTATTATATCCATAAAATAGAGTAAATTATAAATAATGCGAGTGTTTAGTAATATATATTCCTTTTGATAAAGACTTATACACAGTGTTCACGCCCAAGTGCACGTGGGATAGAGCAACAAGCAGGGTTGGATGCTTGATAAAAAATAAAGACATATGTTTAAGAGTTTTTAATATATTAGGCCTAAATTTTGAAGTAATTAACAGTAAGATTTACGATCAATAGCGTAATGCAATTGAGTTGGGCGGTTTCAAATATAATGCGACATGCCAATATAATATTCCTCGCCGCCGTACCTAGAAAATTCTTTTACACATGTTTACATTTGCAAAATGAAATTAACACCTTCATTCACCCATCTCATTAGATCACATGCTCAATCTATCAATCGTTCCCATACTCTCACTTTATCACTCGTTTTAAATTCACACTCACAAATCATTCGTTTCTAAAATCACAAAATTCAATGTTGATTATCTCAAAATTTAGAAATGAAAAATGTTTAAATTTTAAAGTAGTATGGTAAATCAAAATAATATGGTGAATCAATATTTATATAATTTGTTAAATTCCATAAACAAATATCTGAATATATTCAATAATATATTTTAAGATTTATTTAATATTAGTTGGTACTAGTAAATGATAATTGTCCTAATAAACATATTCTCTTTTTCAGCATTTATTATATTATAGACAGTATGATAATTTGAAAATGTGTTTTCACTTCGATCAACCTTACAGCATAATTCTACCATACTACCTTAACCCTTTTAGTGCCGAGCGAAAAACGGGTGCCTATGAGAAGATAACCAGACGAATTTGACGAGTTTATTAAGGTTTGGGAAAAAGCTCATAAAGACCAAACTAAGAATGATGTTTAAAAAATTCAAAATGCAGCATATTACGGAAGAAAGGAAGAATAATGTTATGCCAATTGTATTTGAATGTTTACTGAAAATCATACGAGTAACATCAATATGAAACAAGATGAAAAACATAGAAACAAGTTTCTCTTCTACAAACAATATTTGCACATAAGAATAATAATCATTTGATCACAGTTTTATGTAGGTCACGTAGTATGAAGTATAAGTATTTCATTTGCAATCATTTTTAATAAAATAACCAATATCGGTTCTGAGAACGAAAGAATGACTCCACGATGCATGACAAGCGTCAGATAGATATATTACAAAACAAATGGCACCAAAAAGCCTCGGCAACAACCAGCATCGAATATAACAAAGGATTAAACCCGAAAACAATTTTCAAAAATCTTTTGCAATGAAATTAGACCGTTTATAACGTTTTATAAATTTATTTTGAGATAGAGCTTTCTCGCAATGTGAAGAATAAAGCGCTATCGCATACGCAACGATGTATCGTCGTTCGCACTTTTCGCAAGTGTAGCGAACGACGATATATCATCGTCCAGCACTAAAAGGGTTAAATACATGTTTTATTGTCTTATGAAAAATCCGATCATATGGACTGGAAAATATGCAGTTAGACGTGAACACGCTCTTGTATCCAGGGTGTCCACCATTTTCAGTAATACACTGAAGTGTATCGTTTTAACGAGGGATAAAGAAAGGTACACTGTTTATATATTTATGGGCAAATTTCAAGAAAATTCGATTATTGAATTTTTTGACATTCAATTTTTCTGTCGATACGAAAAGAATGACGGACATTCTAAAAAATCCAAATATATGTATTTGAATGTCTCTATTGCATTCAGAGCATGAAATATTGGCATTTAAATAATAAAGCTGTTCTTCTCATGGTTTATAAATTATCAAGTGCAGATGTAGTGTGACATTATTACATTATAGTGTGGGCATTATTACACGTCTCGCAAAATTAATCTCCCGCGTTACCCGTAAAAGTTTATTTTTATTTTTGTTTAGGGTAAGTTCTCTACTGTCATCCTTTACAGGCCCGGTCCTTTAGATTGAGTTACGATGAGGAATTGGTGTATGGTCTACTTAGTCAAATGATCCGAAGTTCCCCTTGAACTTATTCGCATATATTGTTACAACCAAATGTTAGTGATACTGACAATGATTAAAAACAAGTTATACAAATGCCGTATGGTCTTACAAGCTATGGTTATAAAGAAGATATTGTGATGCCGCCTTCGCTCTCAGTCTCGCTCATTCATATTAACTCGCAGGTATGGTATCAACATGAAACTGTAGACGCCGTCCTGGATTCGATGTTCAGACTCTGTCCTTTTCACAGCGATGGGTCTATCAATCTTTAATAATAACACTTAAACTACATGACAATATTGTCCGCGGCGGAAATCAAAGTACTCATAACTAAATTCGCATTAGCTGACAACGCTACGCGAGCAACTTTTTGGGCTCGATACGACTTTATTGATTTACTAACGGGCGATATGTGACAGAACGCCGAACTCCCGTGAGTTTGATATCCGCCGCGCGATGCAATTGTGAGAAGCTACTCCAGAGATTTGCTCTCGCTGATCCATCCTACTTTCTGCAAATCTTACAAATTCAGTGGTTTACCCGTACGAGTGAGTTCTAGAATTTTTGGTTGACACGTTCTAGGCACGTTCGCGATGTCATAGTGGTGGAATAGCGTGATTTCTGTGTTGGATTCCCGTATTCGCACATGAGAGAGAAAGAAAGAAAGAAAGAAAGAAAGAAAGACAGGACGAGAGAGAGAGAGAGAGAGATTTTATTTAAAAATGAAAATTTATTAGCTAGTTCCATTTTTTTCACATACCATTTGTTACGTATAGCATTGATTATCATTTCCGAAACAGAATAACATAGTCAACAGTCGACAGAATCGCAGACTCAGCGCGTTACCCAGTGCATTGCTCGCATCACCTACCCAACCGTTTAGTTGACTGCATTCCTAAGGTCCTAGCAATACCTAAGAGCATCAGCGAAAAATGATCATAAAAGCAGTCAAAGTCATGATACTGATGCTCAGAAAATCGTTTACGTTCACGCGCAAAAAATTGGACTGCACATTGTCACTCGGGACTATAACCGTTAGAGTATTAAATTCGGTGTAATATTCATAATCTGCCCTAGGTATGGATTCGTTATTACATACCCTAGGGAACAAGCTGGATCGGTTACCGGGCAAAATTGAGCTGCATAGACTAGTCTTTTCCAAATCAAGTAACGCATATACTACATATTTTCTGTTCAAAAATTTCTTATCGCCTTAACCTAACATACAGTCAGGTTTTGGAATTCAATATCACAATCTCTACCCTGAATTTCTCGTAACTCAAACACTGTAAACAACAATCATTTATCGAAACGAATCAATTTATTTGTAACAATATATCGCAAATTCAAATTTTTTCGCATATTAAATATCTATTACCCATCCATATGCATTTCTGGGAATATCACTCCACGTTGAAATAGCAAGGCGTGTTTCAACACCTTAAACGAGCAGCACACCCATCATTGAGTGTAATCTTAACGCTCGGAATTCACTCAAAATTTATTCACATTACCTCTGACCGTTCCTTTTTTTTTGATTACTTCTAAATTTTCGTTATCAAATTTTAAGGCCTCACTAGCCACTACGGTCTACACAACACATTTATAGATATTTATAACGTATCGTATGGTAGATAATATTCTTATTTGCGTTAATGCACTGCCACAGCCTTTCTTGAAATTACCGAAAGTTGATTATGCGTTTCTTCGTATATTATTCTGTAGTTGGCTCTTGGATAAAAATAATTTTCTTTAGAAATCCCCGTAAACAAAAAGCCGGTGTTGTTAAATTGAGAGACCCAGGGAATCTTGTGGAATACAATAGAGAGATTGCTCGATAGATACGGCGACATTCCCCCAAGCACAAAAAGAGCCACAATATCATTTGGAATGTAATCAGAGATTTGGTTGACAGAGTGTATTTCTCGGACTACATTAGTTACGTGTCCAATTTTTACTGATTTTAACACAAAACATAGACTTGATTCAAAACATGAGTTGCTTCTTTTGACTTGACTTAAGTCACGGATTGTTTCTCTATGTTTTATGTTGATTTCAATACACATTTGTGTATAGCTGCAACGGTGCATTAACGCAAATGAAAATATTTTTTACCAAAAAAAGAAACTAATGAACAAATTTTAATTTAAAAATAATAGAACTGCTACAACTGCTTTGGCAGTTGACAATTTATGAAGCGTAGAAAAGTTTATCATTAAAAAGCCAATATTTTATACTCCGGATGCGACAGAGACATTCAGATACATATGACTGGACATGTCAGAATGCCCACTATAACAACTATTAAATTTTCTTGAAAGAGAGTTGCCTATAAATCCAACGACAATCTCATTCTTTTTCCCCCCTTGAAACCATACAATTTTTATTTGAAACACTATTATATCTAGCTTAATTGTCGAGAAATTTTGCTATATCACTTAAAGTGGGACATCCTGTATTTAACATGTCGAAATATACTATTGTAAGAAAAGTAATTAATATACAGGGTGTCCCAGAACTGCTTTTGGACCGGAAAGTGGGCGATGGCTAGAGGTGCCCTGAGTACCCTCCCGCAAACCATTTGCCAAAATTCGCTATTGTTTTTAAATGAGAAGCATTTAAGTGCGACCAATCAGAACGAAGGATCTCCGCGGATTCATTCGCGGATGCCAAAGATCGCTGCTTTGCAATAGCTTCCCACAAATTCCGCGCTTAGCAATTGTTTCATAGCCCGAGCGAGCGTCGTAGGATTCGTTGACAAACTCCCAATATGGGCATGGGCGTGACTTAGGCTGGCGCAGCAGCTACACGTGCAACGCGCGATCGGCAATTGTTTCGGGATATGCATTCAGCCAGACGAAAACCGGTACACGGTGTCCAAAACGTCATGCACTGAATTTTATAGCAGTCCGGAGGAAAACAGATTATTAAAGTGAGAGGGTGTCGACCCCGGATCGTAACTTTGCCACCGGAAGTCGCAAAGGGCTGCAGTTTGGTATACCGATTCTTGGGACGAAGAAAAGGGATACGTGTCTTTGCGTTTCTCTCCTAATCTATTTTCCTATTTACGTATTTTTTACAGTCTCCAGAATCGATGAGTACTCTATAACTTTGAAATCAGCAATCGCGATGTCTTGGAAATTCGATTCGGCTATTCACAAGTCAAAAAATTAATACTTTTATGCTTAGTTTTCAATTCATTTTAAATTTAATCCTTCAGTCCCACCACCCACCCTCCCGACTCCCTCTCACTTTAACTACTTTCAAAAATAATTACTTACTTATCTCTCCAGCTAAAAAAGTCAATTCATTGTCCTCAGCAGCCTCAAAATCATAAAGAGCTCGGACTTTCCTACCCTCCGGATTATTTGAAGCATCCAAAGGTAAGCTTACATTTGGATATAAGCTGGTACTTTTCTTTGCGGTTGGGGAGCTATGCGACGTCGTTGATTGATGATATTGTTGCTTGTTTTCTTTCAGAGATAATTCAATTGCTAATAGATGGATTTAATTTGTAAATAAAAATGTTATTCAACATAATATTAAATCTTAGTTTTAAACTCAAATAAAAATCACAATTATAATACCTTTAGCAATATCTTCCTCTTCTTGGGAATTTGTAACAACGTTAGGATCTCTGCTTATCGCAGCTACTTGCTTTGGCTGTAAAGTATTATATAATAGAGTATTATTAGAATATAAATTTCAAAATCAAATTCCTATTGTCTATGAGTAATTTTACACGTACGAATTATAAGAAGAATTAGCCAATCACGCGTAAGATTTGAAAAGAATAGCCCAATGTAATTGTTTAATCCTTTCTAAAACCCATGTGTGTAAACTTACACGGAACATTACTTTAGTGCCCCCCTCCGATTTTAATGAAATTCAACTATGTTGTAGCGCATGAAAATCTAAGAGATACGTGTTTTTTTTATCGGCGGCAAAACGGTTTTAGGGGGTGAATTCAACCCCTAAAATTCGGCATGTCGAGAGGTGGTAATGCAGTTTCACCTACAATGGATCGACCGGTTTCAATGAAGTAAAAACTAAAATGATTCTCATCGCGAGTAATGTAAAGTGCACCTTGACATTAAAAAAAAATTGTCTCTTGAGGGGGTGAACCACCCCTTGATCATTCTTGTTTTTTACCCTATTTAAAAAATGTACAATTGGAGCTTAATGAAACGCGTACCATTTGAGAGAGGAAGTAAAATTACAGTTTACATGTTTTTGCTTTTTTGCGGGAAGTCACGTTTAAGGGGGTAAACCACCCCCTACGTACCGATGCATGAATTCCCATGTTAAAATCACTATATAAGGTGTCCAATCTTAATCTTTCCAGTCAATTATTACCGAAGTTATAGGTGATACACAAAAATATTTCAGATGAAAATGGAATTTTTGAGGAAGATGTATTTTGGCTATTTTGATGTTTTTTTTTTTCTAGTTGAAGACGTGAAGAAGATATGATGACGACTACCACCTTTTTAAATGGAAGTACCCATTCTTAAATATCTACGATTGTAGTCAATCTCAAATCTTGAATACAAAAACCGTAATTACTCAAAGTTATGTAAGGTTACGAACATAAATAGGCTGAAAAATATTTAAAAATCAGCACAAATGCTCGAATGTGCGACTGTGGGTCGTTATGCACATTTTAATTCACTCTCTGAATAACCTTTGAACCTTGATAGGATAATTGGTCAAATCTTATGACAGCCAATAAAGTCTAATAGAATTAGATCTGATGTTCGTGCTGTCGACCCCATCGGCCTGCGTCGTGCGATCTAACGTCCCAAATACATAGCCTATAGCGTATCACGTATTCGGTTTACATCATAACCAGGAGCACCATTACGTTGTAACCACATACGTGATCTAATTACAATATCGATATCTTCCAAAAGAGCGGGATAAATTTAACTATTTCTCACGAGGCTATTTAAAAAACAGTTGCGATTTCCGAAATTGAACCTAGGATCTTAGAAGAAATGATATGAAGTATATTCATACATTTTTGGCATAGCCACCTAGAAAAAAAATAAAATTCCTAAAGTATGACCTCTCAAACTTTTTCTCATTTCATCTGAAATATCTTTATGAATTATCAATAATTTCTGAGACAACTGACTGGAAAGATTAAAATGGAAACCCTGTATGATAATCAAAAGTAAAAGCGACTTACCATCTCTATTAGGGATGAGAAGTCCACACCTTCACTTTTCAGTTTACTGTATAAACTAGGAATTAAATTTAATTGGGGGTCTGTCTTAAAATCGTTTTCGGCCCATTTTTTTAAAAGTGCTCTTAATTTTTCTGAAATTTTAGGTTGAGAACGATTAATCAATTTTCGAAGCTCTCCTTCAAAATCTCGTGATGCAATTTCCAAATGAAATGTCTTTCCACAATTACTGGAGCAAGCATCTAATAACTGTGAAATTTAACAAATGATTAAAACATTTTTCATATATGGCTTTCATTTCATATTATAAATATAAGAGGCTGTTCAACAAAAAACACTAACTGAAATTGACTTTAAAAAAATGAAATAAACAAGCTAACTTCAGTTTGTGCATTTTATTTGCCTAGCCCTAAAGAATACAATTTCAATATTATTAATTTGAAATACTAACAGTCACAGCTTGTATCACAATATGAGGGTCTTGCGCATTTAGTCTCTTCACAATTGATCTTAAACAGTCCTTAGCATTTTGCGTAGAGTTTCCAACTTTGTCACAAATGTCCATAATTACTCCCCATTCTTCAGATGTATTTTTTTCATTAGTTGCCTTTTCTACATGGAAAAATTATTAATGAAATCACTTTAGATTGAACTGCAGAATACAATTCCTTCTTGAAGTTAGCTGTGGATTATTTAATTTTTTTACATCAAGCTCTTCAAGAAGGAATCATATGCTGGAATTTACCTGACTTTAAAAGGTAAATAACAAATGATATCTAATAAATGCAAATATTTTATCTAATTAATATAATTTAGAGTCTCTGAAAGTTATAATTTAAACAGATTCGTATCTTAGTATCTCCAATATATAGCTTGCAATGTATACAGGGTGTGGCGTTTATCCTGGCCACCTGGAAAATCTCAGAAACTGAAGTCCAGAGAAAAAAATATTTCAAATAAAAAGTTTAAGGTAAGGAGGGGCTGATCCAACAGTCATATCCATTTTAAATTTTTCTCATATTTCCAAGGTCATTCCAAGGTCAATTTTGGTTTTTTAAATAGGAACATGTATCTTTCATTACAGGTTCTTAATCTACGACTTAAAACAAGTAACTTTTATTTGAAACGTTGTCTTCTCCGACGATTATTTTGTACAAAATAACGACTTCATTAGGGAAAAATAGAAACACACCTCAAGTACAAGAAAATCAATTTAATAAGTGTTCAAAATGTTGGCCTTGTTCCTGAATACATTTCTCAAGACGAATGATGAATGAGTTATTGCATCGCAAAAGAATGTCCGCCGGAACGTTATACCTCTTTTAGGTCGTTGGTACCTCTTGGTAAAATTTTTCATTAAGGTAACCCCTTAAGAAAAAATCCAGAGGGGTTAGATCTGGCGATCTAGCAAACACAGCAAATACAATAAACAGAACATTTCGCGAAACAGCGAAATAATGTTTATTGTTACTGTTAATATTTGTTTTATTCGTACTAATAAATCCACCATAGATGTCATTCTTGCCACTTTGAACACTTATTAAATTGAATTTCTTGTACTTGAGGTGTGTTTCTATTTTTCCCTAACGATGTCATTATTTTGTACAAAATAATCGATGGAGAAAAAAACGTTTCAAATAAAAGTTATTTGTTTTAAGTCGTAGATTAAGAACCTGTAATGAAAAATACATGTTCCCATTTAGAAAACCAAAGTTGACCTTGGAATGACCTTAAAAACATGATAAACATTTTAAATGGATATGACTGTTGTATCAGCTCCTCCTTACCTTAAACTTTTTATTTGAAACATTTTTTTCTCCGGACTTTAGTTTCTGAGATATTCCAGGTGGCCAGGATAAACCCTACACCCTGTATATTGGTACATGTTTTTTTCAAATAATAAAATATAATTTATAATCAACTTGGTTGAACTCTAATCAAATAGAACTTAAAATATTATATGCTTTTCTGTGAATGTATATTTTTAAAAGAAATTTCTATCTTTTATAATAATTATATTTGGTAATCAAGAAAGGAATTGCAGTCTAAATTTTTAAAAAGGAAAAAACTAGAAAACTATATGCACAATAAATATTATATGATAATGAAAATATTGGTTCAAATTTTAACACTAATGGGAATGAAGTAAATATGAAATGGTTAAAGATTTAACGATCAATGTTTTGTTAATCAGTCTTATTAAATAATACAAAATAATTATTCTATAAAAAAATTATGTACAGTTTTTCAACAGTGAAAGAGAAATTACAAACGAAAAGCACATTCTCATAAACGAATAAGGACTTGGGAGGGGTAGTCTCACTTACCAACATCAGCATCAAATGGAGAAGAATTGGAAAAAAGTCCCATTTTCAAAAGAATTTGGAAAAAAACGTAAAAACAGTGCACTCTCCGTACACAGTCACAGAATTACGTCTTGATTTTCCTTATCCATCCAGTTGCTATTTACTCCTAAACACTATCGGATGACTAATAACATTTTAATCTATCATCGAATGCCATTTTACTATACGTTGCTTCAAGCTGCCAAAAAAACTGTCGATACTATCGAATCTATCGATTCAGTCGTCGACAAAACCGAGAGGTCTGTTCGTGCAAGCGTTTTTACGTGCTCCGAACCATTATACATGTGTTCGAGAATGAGCCGAGAGAGCTCAGAGTATGTTGTGTCTCGATCACTGAACTCTAACCAGGGGAGTGAAACTCCAATGGGCTATAGGAGCTCGCCAAAGTTAGCCCCACCACTTTAACTTTCGACATTTTTCTTTTTACCAATCGATTGGTGGTCGTTTGGTGGTATTTAGGCAGTATTAACTAATTGGTTTAAGACCGTCGTCTAAACATAGCGTTAGTTTCCACCGTGCAGAGTTTAAACAGAGTTAACCAATCACGTATAAGGGTTGAATGGAATTAACCAATAGGGCTGTTTGACTCTGTTTAAACTCCGCACGGTGGAAACTAAGCTATATGCATAGTTGTATGCATACATACATATCGGGTTAAATCTTATCCTATTCAATGCCGGTAAAGAAACATACCATGATATTCATAAATACTGAGGATATGTTCCAAAATTCACTGTCAGTACTACAAGTATCGTCGTGGTCCCTATTTACCTATACGCAATAGAATAAGATACTACTGTTACGTCCGACGCAACGCAACACCATTGCCCCCCCCCCCTTCAGATCGCCACTAGCAACGGGCAGAGACCACGATAGTGTAACCGATCCTCAGCGAACATGCGTTAATTATTGTAAATCGTAGTTTACCTATATATATATTAAGTAAGGGATCAACAATTCTGATTGGCTTCTAGTACAGAGACGTACGACAAATGTCTACGAACCATGTTCTGTTGTAGACGAAGCCTTAGGCCCATTTTCTTCAGTGCGGTTCAATGTATAAAGTGCGTTTATCTTTAAAATACAAGTGTCTGCCGATTGGCTAACACCACAGCTAAACCGATTTGTGCATTGAAACGCGTCGAAGAAAACGGCCATTATTCTTTCTTTTCTGATGTCCCTCAAATGTGTCTACAATCGATATAGCATCTGTTAAAAGAAGTGTATATTTTCAATCCTTAACTACTGAAAATTAATCGTACGTATATTTTAGCTTAGCTGCGTGTAGAATTTCTAGTATATGATGTTTATATAACTTGACAAGGTACACTGATCAAGTGTAGTTTAAATTTAAACCTTAGTACAGTTTTCGATAATAGATATCTAGTCCGCAAATACTGTGATTCGTAATCTCGAGTGATCGTACACCGCTATATTACTATACAGGGTGTCCCAAAATTACCTGACCAATGGGGTATGGCGGTGTTCGGGAGGCACCACTGATCACGAAAATGACTTTCCTTTTGTCCGGAAGGTCATAGTTTTTAAATGGGAGCAGGTCAAAGTTAACCGATCGTAGTGAGGCGTCACGAGAAACGTAGGCACCTACGAACTCTGAGTTTTCTTCCCTCGCTTTTGTTTCTTGTTTCTTGTTTCCAGTAGGCATATCTTCGGCTGACGTCATCCTGCCCGAAGCCACCGAGAAACAAAAGCGAGGGAAGAAAACTCAGAGTTCGTAGGTGCCTACGTTTCTCTTGACGCCTTCCTCTGATTGGTCAACTTTGACCTGCTCCCATTTAAAAACTATGACCTTCCGGACAAAAGTGGTGCCTCCCAAACACCACCATACCCCGTTGGGCAGGTAATTTTGGGACACCCTGTATACTGGGGTATACCTATATAAATCGCGTTACTTATACAACGCTTATACAACCTACCGATCAGATGGCGATGCTGCTCGTGCTAACAGTCTAAAGCACGCGGGTGCCGTGTCTCCAATAAGTGGTCTGTGAAGATATCGGAGATGATTTAAGCGATTCTGAAAATACTGGCACATGTACCCCATTGGGGATACAGCCATAAGGAAAGGAAGGAAGGAAGGATTCTGAAAATGATGAAGTAATGGAAACGGTTGTAGTGCGTGCTTCAAAACGATATATTCGTGATGGAAATAATCCTTTTGAATTTTACAATGACGAAGAATTTAAAAGGCTCTTTAGGTTTAATAAAGAAAATATAATGTATGGTATATTACCTAAAATTGAAGAAGGCCTTGCAAAGACTAACAACCGCGGTTTACCGATTCCACCTGTCATGCAATTATTAATTTGTTTAAGATTTTATGCAACTGCAAGTTTCCAGGTAAGTTACTTAAAAATATTTATTGATAGATAAAGTAATTATAAGACTGAATAGTTTCTGATATATTTTTGTAACCTATACTTTGTTTGTTAGCTTCTACTTACAATTAATGATACAGTCACAGTATCACAACCGACTATATCAAGAATTGTTTTTCGAGTTAGTGCATTGCTTGCTAGCTTGTTAAATCAGTATATAAAAATGCCAAATATTCAAGAATCACGAAATGAAAATCAGTGGCTATTTAAAAAACTAGAACAGGGCAATGGAGCTATTGGGCTTCCTGGTATCGATGGAACACATGACTGTACCCACATACGTCTAGTAGATTCACGTTTTCAAGACATTAATGAAATATAGGGGAATAGAAAGGGATATTCCTCTCTAAATGTACAAGTACGTTACCTCATTCTATTATATCCTAAAAGTTATCGAATAAAATATTTTTTTGATTAAAGTATGTAAGTGAAGGACTATTGCATACACATTATTTTACTATAAAAATTAAACAGATAAGGTAGTTATTGATGCTACAGTTCTTAATACTGACATTTTTGTGTAGACTATTGTTGGGCCTCGAATGGAGTTTTTAGATATTGTACCAGAGTGGCCTGGTAGCGAGCATGATAGTAGAATCTTCGAAAATTCAAGAATCTGTATGAAATATGCTAATGCTGAGCTCAATGGTATATTGGTAGGGGATGCTGGATATCCATGTCTACCTTTTTTATTAACACCGATTGCAAATCCTATAACCGATGAACAGATGTGGTAAGGATTTTATTAGTCTTCAATTTCTATATTTTACATAATACTTTTAATATTATTTTATGTGTACAGCTACAATAATATACATGGTAGAACAAGACGTATTGTAGAAAGGACTTATAGTGTTTCGAAACGGCGATTTCCTTGCTTAGCACGAGGACTAACAACTGAACTCCTCTGTTCAACAACAATTGTTGTGGCCTGTGCTGTGTTGCATAACATGTCATTGATATTTAGCGACATATTACCAGAAGATGATGAATCTTTTGTGGAAGAGGAAGAACCCAATAATCAACTTCATTGGCAACCTATGGATGGTTTTGCTGCTCGTAACACCATGATTGAACGTTTGTTTCATTGAGCATAAGTATCATAAAGGTTGTGACTTTAAATAAAATCTCTCAAATTGTAAATTGTAATCAATACCAGGATTTGAAATAGAAACTCCTGTTTGTTTATATATCAGTTTATTGTGTAATATATAAATACTGTAAATAAAAGGACATCATAATTTTTCCATCTCTTTTTTTAACAATAATTCTGCTAATTGTGCCGTAGCTGTGGCGGCACGTATATCTAACCCATATTTCGTTTTAGCATGTTCGTATGCTAAATTATGCAATACCTTCTGGTTTTGCTTATACAATACAGCCAAACCCTCTTCCTGCTTCGTAATACGTCTTATATGTGCAAACTGAAGTTCCTGCAGGTTGTATGTCCGGTTGTAGGCTTTGTCCTTTGTACCCTTTTTTATCTTTGATGTTGTACGAAGAAAATGAAATACAAAAAAGTTAGTATAACGTAATAGAATGCAGACAATATTTGTGGGTAATAAAGAAACACATTAAATATACCCTAAAATTAATAAAGTGCAGTAGCAAAATTGAATTTTTTCAATCACTTCAAAGTACAATATCTGACTAAAATTGCGTGCTAAGACGCAATATTCAAGATCGGTGGTAGTATTTTATCACAGATATATGTATGTGTATCATAAAATTCCTCTGGTTTAATACCTTTTGAATGAATTGTGCTTATGTTGCTGCTACCAGCATGTGACATGCCTTCAGAATCTGTGTTTACGACTGTAGCTTCTGATGGTATTGTGGCATCAAGGAGTTCATCAGTGATCAATTCATCAATTTCAAATTGTGAGTCTTGCACAATTATATCAATATTCTCGTTATTTAGAATCTGTTGACGTCGGTCTAAGAAAAACATAAGCATGGTCAATAAGAGAATTGATATACAATAAATGTTTTGCAACTATTTATTTAGAATATCCATAATAATGCTGTTACCATGAACAACCTCTTCTGGCATATTAAACGAAAATAAAATTGGGGCATTTTTCATCAAATTAGGAGCTATGATAGCAACATCAGGATCAATCATGGCCAGTAGAATTGCAGGACCTCCTCCAGTAACAAACCGAGATTGTATCTCCTTTGTTAGTGCATCTCTCTGTGTTTGCTTTAAGTTAGTTCAAAGTTTTTTGAGCTGTTGCACAGTTCTCTATTGAATAATTGATTATATTCAAAACATAAGTTTAGTACCTGTCAAGGGATATGCACGAATACATCAATGTAATGTTATTAATTAAATTAATAATTACTTCTTGCATGACTAAAGATGAAAGGTTGAATTCTTTTTCAATTTCTGCCCATGCCATCTTTTTGTCTTCTAACGTTGTTAAATCACTTTTCTTAATTTCTATAACATCCTTATATTTCTTTAGTATTTCCAAAAATATTTTCTTTTCAGTACTTGTGTAATGTTTATGCTTGATCTATTTTGGTGCTTTACTTCTGTTTTGCGACATTTTTTTTTAATTTCACAAAACTAAAAATCTGATATAGGTACCGAAATAAACGGAGAATCAAATGAAGGCACGAAAATAAAGACCATTATTGACATAGATATTAGATGGGTAGGCCCCTACAAGATTTTCACTCCATCGTATGAAAATCTCAGTGTCCTGTTGGTCGCTCTGGCAGAAATATTCCAAAAGCTTCCAAAGCTTTGCCTTCGTCAAGGCGATCTTGAATAAAATAAGGTGTCCCTTTCAAGCAACTTCTTCGAAAAGACTGTCTTATTTTTCAACTATGAATTCATAGTATCTTAAGACAATCTTAATCAAATAAGACAGTCTTCATCAAGCCCGCCTTAAGCGTCACCTTGAGACCGGACTATGAATACGGGCCAATAGCCAGCTCCGCAAAGTTAGCTCCAACACTTTGACTTTCGACATTTTTATTTTTACCAATCGATTAATTGTCGTTTGGTGGTATTTGGTAGTCTATTCAAAACGTTTGGTGGTTTTCGGTTTACTTTCAGAATCCATAACAAATTTTTAGCATTAAGTTAGCCCTCCCACTTTGACTTTTGACATTTTTCTTTTTACCAATCGATTGGTGGTCGTTTGGTGGTATTTAGGCAGTATTAACTAATTGGTTTAAGACCGTCGTCTAAACATAGCGTTAGTTTCCACCGTGCAGAGTTTAAACAGAGTTAACCAATCACGTATAAGGGTTGAATGGAATTAACCAATAGGGCTGTTTGACTCTGTTTAAACTCCGCACGGTGGAAACTAAGCTATATGCATAGTTGTATGCATACATACATATCGGGTTAAATCTTATCCTATTCAATGCCGGTAAAGAAACATACCATGATATTCATAAATACTGAGGATATGTTCCAAAATTCACTGTCAGTACTACAAGTATCGTCGTGGTCCCTATTTACCTATACGCAATAGAATAAGATACTACTGTTACGTCCGACGCAACGCAACACCATTGCCCCCCCCCCCTTCAGATCGCCACTAGCAACGGGCAGAGACCACGATAGTGTAACCGATCCTCAGCGAACATGCGTTAATTATTGTAAATCGTAGTTTACCTATATATATATTAAGTAAGGGATATCATCATATTATATTATACTGTACACGACATCTCATACTTTCACACATTTTCAGAAATCACACCAACATTGTGACATTGCAGGTGGATGAGTAGAGAGAGAGAGAGAGAGATCACTGCAATCAAAGAATAAGAACGGCACGGGCAGCAACGCTGAACAGGATACTCAGAATTGAGGTGCCTAAAGAGCATTTTCACCATAGCACCGCGAATACCGCGCACAGCAGAACTCCTACCCGTCACCTTCGCACCCACCTCACCACCAAGATAATCCTGACAATGCACTAATCCAACGAAGAATCCGCGATCGAAGGCCTGCAATGAGAGATCGATCGAACGACAGGGTTCAATTGCCCCGATGATGCCGCAATACGTATCCAAATTCCAAGATATTTCCTAACGTTGCATTCAATCCCCTCCAAACTCAAAACCTTTCTTACGAACTCTAATACAAATCATCCTCAGTTACTAATCAATCCTCCGGTAGAGCAGTATCCCTTTTTGAGTCTTGAGCCGATTGTTCGCGCCAGTTAAGTGTTGTGCCGATCAAATACCTTAGGGCCTATTTTGATCTAGCTTGCCTTAGGACCCAAGCGAAAAGTGTATCACTCCAGTGCCGAACGTCCACGCGAAAAGAACTCAATTCTTGGCATTTCAATAAGCATTCATCTAGGTGAGTGTCCACCTTAGGGCTGGACCAAGAATTTCCCATTCAACCAAATCTACCTCCACTATCGTCGAGAACCGAGCGCCGTCTCTCTCTCTTCCTCTGCTCATCCACCGGTAAATAACTCACATTCCTACACCTTTATATACAGTAATGCGCAATTGAAGTGGAACACTTTAATTTTTGTGTATCTCTACGAAACTATGACCGACTTAAAAAAACCAAAGATATATTTTTTAGAAAATTTCCTTCCCGTTCGAATGGTAAAGGTTTTATCCTGATCGAATACAAAATGGCCGAACGGCAGGGGTGGAGTGAAATAGTGAATTTTGGGACTTTGTGAAAAGTGCGAGAACTTGTAGTTCCGGAAGGAAATTCATATTTCTAATTATGGCACGAGAAAGAGCATCATCTGGCAGTCAAAAAACACCTCCATCCACCCCATGTAGCATCACTCTAGGGGGAGTTACACCCCCCTTGAAGTGAAAACACTTAATTGGCCATAACTTCCGAACGAGCCGGTCAATCTGGTCCTGTTTCTGCGTGATATCATTTTCACCAATACTGCAGATCCTCAAAAAATTATTGTTCTCACAAAATTATGATTAAAACGCACTTTTAAACATCCAAAAATGAGTTTGCTAAGGGGTTACATTTTTCATTTGAAAAAACGTCTGAATTTTGCGAGTTTCGCTCGAGGTACTCGGGGGGCAATCGCTTGGCGCCCGTGATGGGGTAGTGGGCCGCTCTTAGTGCGGAGAGACGTGTAGCGGGGCAACCGCTCAGGACCGTACGTTCCGCCGCCCTGACAATGGAGCATACTAGAAGTTTTTTAAAATTATTAATTAAAATAATTTTTTTCTATTGTTTAATTTTGCATTGTTTTTGCATTTGTTCATTTATTTATTTATTGGTTATTTAATTCAATGATTTTTTTCACGTTAATTTTTTTACTATTTCTTCTTATTGTTTTGTCTCTTAAACCTCTCAATTACCGTTTCAATGAAGAATAAAAGAAATGTGAAAAATAAG